TTTTATTTATTTATTTTATTTAAACACATAAATATTGGTACAAGGAAACACCAAATACATATGCGCCATACAAATCTCTTTCGATTTGCTTGAGGGCTGTGATACTGCCCAGGTGCCCAAACTGAAGCAGGTGGTTTTCTTAGGGGGCCACACCCGGAGCCTTTGACCGAAAGATCTGATGCACAAGGCAGTGGAGCATCGTGAGGAGATGCAGTCCCATGGTAGCCGGTGACCAACAGCAGGTTCGTTCGCCATTCGTTCCATCAGGATGCTGGAGCCCATGTGCACCTTAGGTTTGGAATCAGGGTTTTCCAACTCCCCTAGGTGGACCCTACATGTCCACCAACCCGGTTAAAGCACCGAGCATTCGCTTTTCGTCCTCTCACTTTCGTAAACAACACCCCCGCCACGAGAAGTCAGTGAGTAGGACTTCCCTGGCAGAGGCTATATATTCGCTGGCCATATGAGAGCATTTCGAGAGGGAGAGTGGGCTCTCCCCACTCTCGGCCGTACCAGGGCATTTGGGGCGTTTATCTTGAATATCTATCTATTATGATTTTTTAAGATTTTTCATCTACTAAATACAGAAGTATATCTCTTTGATAAAGTATCATTATTTCTTAATTTTATTATTCAAGCGTAAAGTGTAGTGAACAAGTACACAAATTTGTTTATTTATTATTTAAACACAAATATTGGTACAAAGAGGCACCAGATATATATGCGCCACACAAATCTCATATGATTTGTGTGAGGACCATGATACTAATCCGGAGCTCAAACCGAAGCACGTGGTTTTCTTTTAAGGGGCCACACCTAGAGCCTTTGACCTAAAGGTCTAATCCACAAGACAGTGGAGCATGGTGATGAGATGCAGTTCCATGGCAGCCGGTGACCAACGATTGATTCATACGCCATTTGTTCCATCGAGATACTCCCCTTGGGGGAATTTTCGTATCCACCAACCCGGTTAAAGTGCCGGACATTCGCTTTTCGTCCTCTCAATTTCGTAAACAAAACTCCTGGTGTGGGTAAGCATTGAGTAGAACTTCCTGGCAGAGGCTGTATATGCGTGGTCATGTCAGAGCATTTTGAGAGAGTGGATGGGCCTTCTCCACTCTCAACCGTATCCGGACATTTGGAAGCGTTACATACTCACGAATTATACAAGTTTTATCTTTTCATAAATTTCATTTACTGTCTTCATGTGAGATATGAACTGTAAGTATTTAACGGAGGACATTTTTTCTCTGAGTTATAATGAATATTTCAAATCTTTTTCTCCTTTGATATGCGACATTCAACTGTTGTTAAACTAACTTAGCGTACGTACTATATTATGTTATTGTCATATATATTTCAACGGATAATTTTAAATCTTACCTTATTCGTTCTTACAATTCCTTGGGTGTTCATTCGTGAGTTCGGTATGACAGGAAGTGATAAAAAAAACGTAGTTAATATACTTTAAAGGTTATAGTTCTTTCAAGTATGCACTAAACATGTTTTTTTTTGTTTTATAGAGCTGGTGGTCTTAGTCTTAGAGATAAAACATAGTACTATATCCCGGAGCGATTTATGAATGGTACCTTTTGAGAACTATTTATGGACTAATATGATATGTATATTTCCTATTGTATAATTGTTAAGTAACTTAACTATTCATATTCATGTTTCTCTTATTATAAGCTTTATTTCGCTCCATAGACTATGACTATACGACTTACCATTCCGGAGTTATCCCCCAGTCTATTAATTATTGTTCCCCCTATTCACAGCCACATTAGATCAAATGTTATTATCCATACAATGGTACGATATGGTCAGTCTGTTTGGTATATAAACCCAGTATGTTTAAGAATAATGATTCATATTACAGAGGCTGTTATTGGTGTTCTGGGTTTAACTGGTTGGGCTAGGCAGAAAGCAGGACTGATAAGTACTCAAGACTGCTCATGCCCCCAAATGTCCTGGTATGGCCGAGGGTGGAGAGTCCACCCTCCCTCTCAAAATGCTCTCACATGGCCAGCGAATATATAGCCTCTGCCAGGGAAGTTCTACTCACTGCCTTCTCGTGGTGGGAGTGTTGTTTACAAAATTGGGAGGACGAAAAGCGAATGTCCGGCACTTTAACCGGGTTAGTGGACACGGATAGTCCACCTAGGGGAGTTGGCAAACCCTGATTCCAAACCAATGGTGCACATGGACTCCAGTATCCTGAAGGAACGAATGGCGTATGAACCAATTGTTGGTCACCGGCTACCATGGGACTGCATCTCCTCACGATGCTCCACTGCCTTGTGGATCAGACCTTTAAGTCGCAGGCTCGGGGTGTGGCCCCTAAGAAAACCACCTGCTTCAGTTTGGGCACCTGGTCAGTATCACAACCCTCACACAAATCAAATGAGATTTGTGCGGCGCATATTTATCTGGTGCCTCCTTGTACCAATATTTATGTGTATAAATAATATTAATAACAAGACTGCTCATACGGCCTTGTGTGTCATTGCTCTGATCGATAATTCACTCCTCCCTAATTGGCGGTCTTATAACGTTATATATAAGCAGGTAACGCACAAACTCACATGATATAACACATAGCAACGTGATAGATATCCTACTAATCTGTTAAATCCTAGTTAGAATTGGGCTTCTTTTTGTTGCAAAATTATATTTTTGAGTATGTGGCACTTTTTATCTAAGTTGTAGTTAAGTTAGTAACTTATTATTCTACTGATGACTTATCCTGAAGGAATACGTTTTTTGGGATATTCTTTGAAAGCATTTTCTTATTCATGATACATTTGTACTACGGAAGTGTGCTGTTTCTATGAACACTAGACTTTAATGATTGAAAACAATATAGCTTACTGCTGACATCCAGTAAATAAGACATTGGGTAATGAATATTTGTATGCCCAAGGCTTCATTGGTCTTTTTAAGACTTTAAATAATTATGAGTACCAGTCAATGTAACATTTAAGTATAGAATTTTGTTGTTGATTAACTCCATTCATTTGACTCAAAACTAAATAATTTATGATGCCCAATCCTTTGATTAAGTGCTCATACTGCACCTTGACTAATGAAACCGGATGAGCGCCAACGACTAAGCATCGTAACATTTATTACTAATAAGTGATAGTAATATACTCATCAACTATGTCAAGATGTTTGGGATGCGTTTCTCTTCTAAATGTAAACCGTTGTTTCAGAGCTGGCCTGCGTCAACACCTTATTTAAGGAGAAAGAGTGATGTAGTCGAATGCATCGACAACACTGATCTCGGTTGTCTGACCAGCTCTAATGTATTGGTGTCTGACAAAATCTCTACACGAACTCGAAAAGCTCATTTGGCCTTTTCCCTCTTATGTCATCTATGACGAGGGAGAGTTATCCGTTCATCGATTAAAGGACAGGTATACTGCGCAGCAGTTCGTACTGTTTTAATTTACGACTGCAAAACGTGGCCATTAAAGGTAGAGGATACTCGCCAGGTACTAGTATTTGATCATAGGTGTCTTGGAAATATTGCCAGCATCAGCTAGGATCACTGGGTAAGTAATAGTAATATTAGACGCTATAAATGCGTGGTCTCACTAAACCATTTCGATTTAAAGAACATACTTCTCTCCATCTTCTCCCATAACAGAGCATTTGGTTTGCAGAAGCCTGAGTACAATGAGAAACACTATAAAATGATATAAATGCTAAAAGACTTAGTTTCGGTCTCTTGTGTGTGTTTTCAGAAAAAAACTGTAGTTAAGCTATTTAAAATATGTTAAAACCTAACTTACTAACCGAATAACTTCAAGGTGAAGTGAATTAGTTGTCATAACGAAAATACTTTTATCAAATATGAATCATACTACGTTGAATAGTTTCTTTTGTGTAGTCAGTCAGTAAATCAGTTGATGAGGTCATGAATCTTCATCGAGTGAGATGGTTAGGCCACGTGTTACGTATATCTGAACACCGATTACCACGACGCACTATCCTGACTAGTGTTGGAGTTGGTTGGAAGAGAGTTAGGAGCAGCCAAACCAAAATGTGGCATCAGTGCTTGAAGTCACTAACTTCTATTCTGAGCCATGTTGGTAGATGCAGACTACTTGGTTGGGTCCGCGTGATCATCGTAACCAATGGTTGGAGACTCTAGGTGATATGACTAAGAATCGATCACAATGGCTTAGGTGTAGTATACACTCTTTATCTTCCCTTAAACCTTGAGATTAAAATTGCTTCATAACTTTCTTCCTTCCTGTACTATATCCTTAAATACAACCTATCTTTTATATATTACCACCACTAAATTAACTACTTTTATGAATCCGGTGTTGATCTTGTTGTGCTGATGAGGTATTGCAACTTGGACCGATGCATAAATGTGCCTGGTCCTACATTGTAGCTGACTGACTGATTGATAATGACCTACAACATAGGATCAGGCACATATGTATGCGTCGGTCTAAGTTGCCACACCTCATCAATACAACAAGTTGAACAACAACCGGGAGAAAGAATTAGTTCATAGAAAGTAAGGTATAAAGTAATTTCAATCTCACAGTTTAAGGGAAGACAAAGAATGAGTGTCAGCACCTATACAGTTTAAAGCTTTCATTCTTGACTTTCATCTATCTACTAATAACTGTCTTCATAAACCCTTTTTAAAACATGATTTATCATTGTAAGCAAAGATGGATAGTGGCTAGCGTGAAATCCAGTAAGACGCGCGTTTCGTCTTATTTAGGGTTCGTCAGCTGGATATACCTGCATCTCAGACTTGTTGATGTTCACTCTGGGACTCGGACCCAGTACCTTTCGCTTCAAACGCCATCACGTTATCCACTCGGTCACTGAGTCTCTCATAACCACTTACTTGTGCAATGGGATGAAGTTTAAATTCATTTAGTATTGTTTGTTTAAATTTTCCCATCGATGTGTTAGGACTACAACTGTTTTATCATTATGATTTATCCATTCTATTTATTATTTCGCAGTTATTAGAATTATTCGACAGTGAAGATCCTCGTGAACGTGATCTTGTTAAAACTATATTACATCGTGTATATGGTAAATTTCTTGGATTACGTGCATTTATTCGTAAACAATTCGGTAACATATTTTATAAGTAAGATTGATTATTATTATTATTATTAATATTAATATCTAATGAATAATAATAACAATGTAATGTACATTACACATATCCTGTTTTGTTTGGTTCTATTCTCTCTCTCTCTATGTGTGTGTGTGAGGGGTATAGTTGCATGTTTTCCTACTTAAATCATTCCTAACGGTGTAACGATTGGACTGATTGTTGTTGTGGAAAATAATGATACTGTTTACTGTTTTGCTTCCTCATATAGGCTTGTTACTTACTTCTCTTGTAGACTATAGACTACTGACCAAGGAAGCGTTAATAATTTCTTTTCAGTTGTTCTCTATTAGTGGTTTCATCTTTGAGTACATCTAGTAGAGTTCGGAAATATATGCTGAGTGCAACTTTAAGTTCTTTGGATTTGTTAGCATCTTGAAAGAAGGTTGTATTTAAATTTTGGAATGATATCTATTCAAATGTCCAATGCTTTGTATGTGCATTTGTCATGAAATATAGTCCCACCTATAACTAATTGTGTTGTCGAAGACACATACATTTTCAAATCTCTCACCATTCTCGTTCATATCGTCTAATCATATCTTCAAACCCAGGGTTGTCCATTTTGGCTTTGCCTTTTAGGTCCTCGACAGAATGGTCATATCTTTTCCTATCCATTCTTCTTGGTTCGATTGCAAATTTTTAGAAATTTGATCTTCATCGTCCTTTTTGGTATTGTTGATGGGTGTTTGGCACAGTGATGATCATTGTGATCCCATTCATCTTTGTTTCAAAGGATGCTTTAATGACCTTTGCCGCATGATTTTCCTGTCCCATCAGCACCTTTTGTGCTTCTTCAGAAAGAATCAATTTAGCTCCTCGTGTGTGTGGGGGCATTTTCTTCTTCATGATCACAAAGCAAAACAACCTCTCCCGAAGTTGGTCTTTTCTCTCCAGTTTGTGTCCAATGAGTTCCACTTATTCGAAGGCTAGTCAGGTTGTATCTTCTCATCTCTACTGATATTTGGAGGGCTCTGTCAGTTTCTTTTGTTACGCGGAAATTCCTTGTAACTATATAAATTGTTGCCTTCATTGTCAAAGTGGAGCATCTGCTTCGTGATTTCCGAAGAATCTTGGCTTTCACCATTAGCCGTCAAAACTCTTTGTAATGAGGACTCTTTACCTGATGTTAAATTATTTAAATTATTTTTCTAGTTAGCATTTTTTAGAAAGGTTCTTGTAGTTTTACTAACTGTACACCCAACCTTCCTCGTCTTGGCACCCATAAGATCAACAGTAACCCTAGAGAGCTCTAAGCGAAGTTATCCAGTGGTTTAGTGATTAAAATTATATGACCTAGGTATTCTGTGACACCGACTTCAGTTTCCGCAATTTGGGTAGTTTCACACTAAATCACACACAAATTTCAATGTTCAGAATAAAGAACTCTCTAGATAAGTTATATTAAACTGCACATAAAATATAATGTGACATCGCTTTATTTACTGAATAATATCTCAAATTAAATAGTCGATATTTTATGTGACCACTTACTACTCGCGTTGGGTGCTTATAGACACTCGTATCGTGGATGATGGACTCTCAAATAACTTGAGAAGCTCACACAGTCTTTGTAATCTATTTTATATAGATTTGAGTTTAGCGTTTTGTACTCTAATGTTCTCCACTTTATTAGTTTTTTTTCACTTTCACCGCTTAAAAGAACATTGTCATTTAGTTGCATCGGTAATCTTGTTGCTATATCGCTGAAGACATTGTTCATATATTGATGTACGTAGTTTTTTCACTAAGTAATCCCCCTTGAAATTTGGTGATATAAATCTTCTAGTTGAGGCATATATTTTGTCTCTAGCGGAGTGGGAGGGAAAATCTAGGAAATGGTCTGTTCATTGAAATTCGAGTTAGGAATTATCAACTTGGTGCTAAGATTAATTAAAATACCACTTCCAACAATAGTTCAATCATGCTGATAATATCAGATTTATAATATGCTAACTTATCAATCAAAAATGTGTGTAACTCTGTGATAATAAGTAATATTTTCTATTTATTGTATCATTAAGGCGCAATTACGTCTGATCTCATTAATAGACTTTATGGATACATGAGATTAGTCTCTTGATTTGTTGGCTTTCATAAATACTAAAATTAGTAAACCTTGTCAAGTCAAATTTTGCTACCGGACAGTCGTTGATATAAATGAAGGTGTTACGTCCTTGAATCTGTCTACCCACTTTCGTGCCGAGTGTAACTTGTCTAATGTTGATTAAGACCTTAACGCGATAAGCTGACTGGCTTAACCTTGAAACTAGTATGCGTGAGTTCGAAGTGGGGATAGAAAGACGAAAACTATTCTATCCCTGATTGGCTGACAAGCACGCAAGAGAATGAGAAGATAAGGACAACTGGAATACTAATCACTTTATTCCAATCGCAATCTAGCATTCGCATTCCAAATTCCAAATTAGTGCAAAAAGATACATGAATCAATAGATGAATAACCTGACCACAACGTACAATAATTAGGAAAATACAATTATGTCCAAAACTGGGGGATTATAGTAGAAAATAGAGTACAAAAAATTACGTCTAAATGACAATAGCTTTGGAACTGAAAATGCTATGGCAGTGAATCATACATCAAACGAAAGCTTATGATCTGTTGAATAGACTAGGAGCAAAAGTAAATGTTACAGTTTTACAAGCTTTGAATTAAATGAATTAACGTCCCCAAAAATCGCTTCCGTAATTTGTTAAGGCTTCTTGTTTTGCGGTTCACATCAGAAGGAATTTTTATCCAGTTGAATCTTAACTCAATGTGCAAAGACAATCTAACATTCTTTCAACCTAATGCTAAACATGTACCCCTATAACTTCACTTAGTTTGTCAAACTATGGAAGGAAAAAAGAAAAATCACCATCCCTTACCTTAATAAATAGAAGAATACAAAGATATCTATACATTTGCTAGGATTTCATGGCTAATCAACCTTTCAGAGTACAAGTGTTCTATGACACCTGGTTCGATAATACTTACTTACTTACTTACTTACGCCTGTTACCCCTCGTCGAGGAGCATAGGCCGCTCACCAGCATTCTCCATCCAACTCTGTCCTGAGCCTTCCTTTCCAGTTCTTTCCAGTTAATATTCAGCCTTTTCATATCGGCTTCTATTTCCCGGCGTAGTGTGTTCTTTGGCCTTCCTCTTTTCCGCTTCCCTTCCGGATTCCAAGTTAGGGATTGAGTCGTGATGCACATTGGTGATTTCCTTAATGTATGTCCGATCCACTTCCAACGTCTTTTCCTTATTTCCTCTTCAGCTGGAAGCTGGTTTGTCCTCTCCCATAAAACGCTGTTGCTGATAGTATCCGGCCAATGGATGTTGAGTATTTTGCGTAGACAACTGTTTATAAATACTTGTACCTTCCTGATGATGGCCGTAGTAGTTCTCCACGTTTCAGCTCCATACAGTAGGACTGTCTTGACGTTCGTATTAAAGATTCTGACCTTGAAATTGGTTGAGAGTTGTTTTGAGTTCCATATGTTCTGCAATTGTAGAAATGCTGCCCTTGCTTTGCCAATCCTTGCCTTTACATCTGCATCCGATCCTCCTTGTTTATCAACGATGCTCCCCAGGTACTTGAATGTTTCCACCTCTTCCAGAGTTTCGCCATCAAGTGTGATTGGGTCGGTGTTCTCCGTGTTGCATTTGAGAATCTTGCTTTTTCCTTTGTGAATGTGGAGGCCTATCGATGCGGAGGCTGCTGCTACATTTGCTGTCTTCATCTGCATTTGGTCGTGTGTATGAGAGAGGAGGGCTAGGTCATCTGCGAAGTCCAAATCATCTAATTGATTCTGAGAAGTCCATTGTATTCCGTATTTCCCTTCGGATGTCGAATTCGTCATAATCCAGTCAATCACTAGAAGGAAGAGAAATGGGGAGAGTAGACAGCCTTGTCTGACTCCGGTCCTTACTGGAAATGCATCTGTCAGCTGTCCTCCATGCACCACTTTGCACTGTAATCCATCGTATGAGTTTTGGATAATGTTGACGATCTTCTGAGGAACTCCATAGTGTCGAAGAAGTTTCCACAATGTTCTCCTATCCACGCTGTCAAACGCCTTCTCATAGTCGATGAAGTTGACGTATAGTGATGAGTTCCACTCAACTGATTGTTCAACGATGATCCGTAGTGTCGCAATCTGGTCTGTGCACGACCGATCCTTACGGAATCCAGCCTGATGATCCCTAAGTTCGGCGTCTACTGCGTCTTTCATCCGATTCAGCAGCACTCTGTTGAAAACTTTTCCTGGTACTGATAACAAACTGATGCCTCTGTAGTTCTCACATTGGCTCAGATCTCATTTCTTTGGTATCTTGATGAGATATCCTTCTTTCCAGTCCGTTGGCACTTGTTCCTCTTCCCAAATCTTTTTGAATAGAAGGTGAAGCATGTTTGCAGTTATTTCAATGTCTGACTTCAGTGCTTCAGCTGGTATATTGTCAGGTCCTGCCGCCTTCCCACTTTTGATTTGTCTGATGGCCATCTTGACTTCTTCGATCGTTGGTGGAGTGACATCTATTGGAAGGTCAGTGTGGGCTGCTTCGATGTTCGGTGGATTCGATGGGGCTGGTCTATTCAGCAGTTCCTCAAAGTATTCTGTCCATCTTTTCCTCTGTTCCTGAATCTCAGTGATTGTCTTTCCTTCTTTGTCTTTGACTGGTCTCTCTGGTTTGCTATATCTCCCTGCCAATTTCTTCGTTGTATCATATAGTTGTTTCATATTCCCTTCTCTTGCAGCTTTTTCCGCCGCCGTTGCTAGTTCTCCCATGTATTTCTGCTTGTCGGCTTTAATGCTTTTCTTCACTTCTCTGTTTGCTTCTGCGTAGTCTGCTTGTGCTTTGACTTTCTCTGCTCGTGTTCGGCTGTTGTTAATTGCTAGTTTCTTGTTCTTCCTTTCTTGAAGTTTGTCCAGGGTCCTCATAGAGATCCATTCCTTGTGATGGTGCTTCTTAGGACCAAGAACCTCCTGACACGTTGAAGTTAGTGCTTCTTTTATCCCTTTCCAGTTGTCCTCCAAAGTAGTTTCTTGTTCTTTCAGTAGATCCTGTAGAGCTTGGAACCTGTTGTTGAGAGTTATCTTGAATTCATGGAGTTTGTCAGTATCTCGAAGGAAGGCTGTATTAAACCTTTGTAGTGCTGTTTGTCCAGTTGTCCAGTCTTTCTTTAGCTTCAGTCTCATCTTGGCCACAACCAGGTGGTGATCTGAAGCTATGTCAGCTCCTCTCCGGGTTCTCACATCTTCCATTGATCTTCGGAATTTTTTGTTGATACAGATGTGATCAATCTGGTTCTCTGTGGTGTGGTCCGGTGAGATCCATGTAGCTGTGTGTATGCGTTTGTGTGGGAATATTGTGCCGCCTATAACCAATTTGTTGAAAGCACATAGGTTTGCAAGTCTCTCCCCATTTTCATTTCTCTCTCCTAGTCCATGTCGTCCAATTACATCTTCATATCCTGTGTTGTCCACTCCAACTTTAGCATTTAGATCTCCCATAAGGATGGTGAGGTCCTTTCGTGAGCACTTTGCTATAATTGATTGCAGCCTTTCATAGAACTGATCTTTATCATCGTCGTTGCTATCATTGGTGGGTGCATAACATTGGATAACATTCATTGTGATCCCTTGCTTCTTTGTTCTGAATGATGCTTTGATTATCCTGGGTCCATGAGATTCCCATCCCACAAGTGCATTTCGTGCTTCTCTGAACAGCATTAGAGCAACTCCCTGAGTGTGTGGCGCATTTTCCCCTTCGTGACCGGAGTACAGCAGCATCTCTCCTGTACCTAGCCTTTGTTGTCCAGTTTGTGTCCAATGGGTTTCGCTGATTCCGAGTACTGCCAAGTTGTATCTCCTCATTTCCATTGCTATTTGGCTGGTCTTTCCTGTTTCCCACATTGTCCGGACGTTCCATGTACCTATAAAGAGTGTTGCTCTGGTTGTTAGAAGGTGCATCGGTCTCGTGACTTCCGAAGAATTTCGGCTTTCATCATGAGACGTAATAATTATTCCTTCAACTCCCAGGGCAGAGTTTAAATGGTTTGGATTATTTTTTCTGGTTAGCGTTTTTTTAGCGAGTTAGCTTTTCTACGGGATGGGGTCGCTAACCCCATGCCCAACCCTCCTCCTTTACCCGGGCTTGGGACCGGCAGTAACTCTAGAAGAGCTACAGGCGGAGTTTTCGATAATACTAGTGCAATATAAGAATCTCAAGTGGTAATTATTAAGTAGTCAACATTAATACATACCAGTAATTGAATTCTGAATAAATTTCAACTTACTGTACAGATTACTGTTTTTAAAAATTGTATAACATGTAAATGGTTACAGTGGCTATCGGTAGGATGTAAATGTTAAATAACTTGAATTGTTGTTTAATTTACATTCCAATAGTTATGAACATATCCTTTCATATAATAATAATGATTATCATTTTATATAGTTGAAATCATAAGTCTATTGAAGCTAGACCACCATAGAAAACACTGGAAGTATTAGATGGCCGTTTCGTCTTATTGTGAGACTCCTTAGTGGTAGTGCGCATCCACAATTGGACGAAACGGCCATCTAGTGCTTCCAGTGTTTTCCATGGTGGTCTAGTTTCAATGGACACATGATCTCAACTATATAAAATTACTTAAAATCTCCACAAAACCCCCTTCTGATTATTATTATTATTATTATTATCATTATCGTACTTAAATACATATTTGTTGGGTTTATCAGGTTCATTTACGAAACAGAAGTTCATAATGGAATCGCTGAACTTTTAGAAATTTTGGGCAGGTATGTTTTATTTCTTATTTCTTATCATAAACTATATTCATTAACTATAAATCATTCATATGTACTTCAGTCAGTCAGCTACAACGTAGGACCAGGCACGTTTATGTATCGGTCCAAGTTGCCATATCTCACCCATTATCACAACAAGATGAACACCGGATTCATAAAAGTAGTTAATTTAGTGGTGGTAATATATAAAAGATAGGTTGTATTTAAGGATATAGTACAGGAAGGAAGAAAGTTATGAAGCAATTTTAATCTCAAGGTTTAAGGGAAGATAAAGAGTGTATACTGCGCCTAAGCCATTGTGATCGATTCTGAGTCATATCACCTAGAGTCTCCAACCATTGGTTACGATGATCACGTGGACCCCAACCAAGTAGTCTGCATCAACATGTAGTAGTCTGCAACCAACATGGCTCAGAATAGAAGTTAGTGACTTCAAGCACTGATGCCACATTTTGGTTTGACTGCCCTTAACTCTTTTCCAACCATCCACTACACTAGTCAGCATAGCGCGTCGTGGTAATCGGTGTTCAGACATATGTAACACGTGGCCTAACCATCTCACTCGATGAAGATTCATGACCTCATCAACTGATTTACCATCATTTCCTAATACCCTGTGTCTAACCTCACTATTACATACGCAGTGATCTCATGATCATGGTTTTTGAGACAATCTAGTTTTTGTGTAGGTAATTTATGCTATTTACATATTTGAAAGATTTTGGCAAGAAGAAATTTGTATCTAAGGTTTATAGACCAAATCACTAACGAATAATCTGTATACTATGGCGTATACATCTGTAGTTTTTTTTGGGGGGGCGGGAGGGGGTATTTGTATGTGTGTACGATTGTATTTATTACTCATAATATAGTATTGAAATACTTTTATTCGATATCTTCACATTCCATATCGAATTGATACTAACATTTAAAGTACTTATCCAAGAGTTGGAAGAGCCTATCATCATAGCAACTGCTTTGTGTATTAAAACTTTGAAAATAGTTGAGGGATTCGTTCATTTGATTGTTTTTGTGAGTTCATATGATGTCTTAGCAAATACAAGCAATATATATATATATGATAAAAACCACAATAGCTTATGCCTTTTTTGACCAGGATTGACACTATTGTAATTTGCCTGACAGTAAAAGTCATGTACATTGCACATCAGTGAGTGTTAAGTTACTGTTTATGCTCGATCAACGTTTCCCTCCGAAGCATTACTTATACCAAGTCCTAATATCTTGTTGATAATACAAATGTCCTATTGTAATGAATGAAAATACTGGTGAGGACAAGCAATATATAAGAACCACACATCAAATATTTTATTTCCAAATTTTCTTCATTTGTCTTTCATATTCTGTGTGATTCTTCCGATTTACATTTCCATTCTAATTCCTTTCCTATTTTCATCAAGTCAACCTTCATTAGCCTTCTGCTGCCAGAGTTTTCCATTTCCGATTGGTGTTAAATTACTAGTTATGTATATCGACATAAGTAGCATACACCACACTATGATAATCAACCCGAACAATACTCATCATTAAGACCAGTCATTTTCAAATTCTAATACTTGGTACTGTTGAGGATATGAGGGCTAATTCACTTACCGGATGTCCATACCGTAGAAAAGTACTTCTTGAGGGGTCTGAAAAGAAAGTTGGATTAGTGTTGGTTTTAACGACCTGGAGGCCGGTCACGCACGGATACTTTTGTGGGGGATTTTTGACGTGTTAGTTCCGTTCTTCAAAAGTCCTTACCGTCCGAGTCGGAAATCTGTGAGATAAGGCGAGGCGTGACATTTTTAGGGTCAACTTTTCCTAACCCCTTCCTTCCTCGTGAGAAGGCAGCATCGCTGCAGATGCTGGTTGTCCGAGGGAAACACCTTACTGTTGTCTCACCCCTCTACAGTCAGCAGTACAACATCGCCCTCAAACATTGAGTCGCTACTTATAGTCTTACCGTTCTTCAATCGACCTGCTCCGCATGGTAGAATCTAGAAGAACATATGTTCTAGCTAATATAGCTCAATCGGGTCATCACGATAGGCAAACTCAACCACCACGTCAAGGTAGCAACTACGATTGGAGTTACTGGATACTGACTAGTGTATTATTCATGAATCATTTTTTTTTCTTCTATACTGTTTTTTTTTATTTTTCATATGTATCAGATTTTTTATAATCGATCAACTTATCATAATTATTATTATCATGGTGATAAAAATTTTCTTATCATAACAACTAATTGTTATTTACAATTTTGTTATTGTTGTTGTTGTTGTTAGAATGATCATATCACATGATACCCGCCCCCTCCCCCTTTGTCTAAATTGTTAAAGAAATTATTTTCTTTTTTTATATTATTTATTATTTTGATTATGATTAAATGGTGTAATTTTCTTGTTATTTCTATATTGTAATATTCTTATTCATGATTGTAAGATTGTGTACATTTATGTAATGTACAAATGTATTATTTAATATACACTGACCAAGTGGATAACGCGATGGCGTTTGAAGCGAAAAATATTGGGTCCGAGTCCTAGAGTGAACATCAACAAGTCTAAGATGCAGGTATATCCAGCTGATAAACCTTAAATAAGACGAAACGCGCGTCTTACTGGATTCCACTGTTAGCCACTATCCATCTTTGGTTACTATACACAGGTTTAGTTATTTCATATTACTGTGTATGATTTAGAAAGCTAGGGGCGACCAAACCAAAAAGTGGCACAAATTCATGAAGTCACTGACACGTGGACTGAGCCATGTTGATAGGTGTAGACTACCTGGATGGGATTCGCGAGATGATAGCAATCGATGGTTAGAGACCTTGAATAGCATGGCTAAAAATCGTTTGCAATGGTGAAGGTGCATCCACTCTTTGTGTTCTACCAAATTCTAATCTTCTGAATTCTTTGTGTCCCTTTCTTTTTCCTCTCTCCAAATTTATTTTACTGGGTTATACTCCTTGAATAACATCTTCGAATCGTAATCTTTTGGATTACTACTTATACTCTTACTACCACTACCACTATGGGATTTGAATCGACAGGTGCATCTCTGCGTTAATATAGTATGGCAACTCAAACTGATGTACGTACGTACGAAGTTCTACGTTGTAACTGATTGACTGTGTATGATTGCAAAAAGTTCTTATGATGATTCAAATCTGATGGCTTAGCTTTAAACTGTTCAACTTTTTGATAGTTATGACTTGGGTTTTTTTGTTGTTGTTTGTTTGACCTTATGGTGATCTCTCTGGTCACTCAGGTCATTAAAATTATCTAACATATTTTACTTAAATGCTTAACCTTAATCTTTATCAATATTATAGCATGTTGGATAATGTGCCAATGTTTAAGTATGAAGTAGATCTCAGGGAAATATCTTGTCCTAGCCTAGTACTCTTATAGATAACTATAATATTACTCACTTGATTGTTTCGCGATACACAAAAAATGCCTCAAAGACTTTCTATAAACTACTTTATTTATTTTATTTTATTTGAACACATAAATATTGATACAAGGAGGTACCAGATATATATGCGTCACACAAATCTCATTTGATTTGTGTGAGAGTTTTGATACTGCCCTGGGTGCCCAAACTGAAGCAGGTGGTTTTCTTAGAGGGCCACACCCGGAGCCTTTGACCTAATGATCTGATCCACAAGGCAGTGGAGCATCGTGAGGAAATGCAGTCACATGTTAGTCGGTGATCTTAAATGCCCTGGTACGGCCGAGAGTGGGGAGGTTCCACTCCCCCTCTCGAAATGCTCTCACATGGCCAGCGAATATATAGCCTCTGCCAGGGAAGTCCTACTCACTGACTTCTCGTGGCGGGGGTGTTGTTTACGAAAGTGGGAGGACGAAAAGCGAATGCTCGGTGCTTTAACCGGGTTGGTGGACATGTAGGGTCCACCTAGGGGAGTTGGAAAACCCTGATTCCAAACCTAAGGTGCACATGGGCTCCAGCATCCTGATGGAACGAATGGCGAGTGAACCAATTGTTGGTCACCGGCTACCATGGGACTGCATCTCCTCACGATGCTCCACTGTCTTGTGGATCAGATCTTTCGGTCAAAGGCTCCGGGTGTGGGCCCCTGAAAAAACCACCTGCTTCAGTTTGGGCACCTGGGCAGTATCACAGCCCTCAAGCAAATCGAATGAGATTTGTTTGGTGCATATTTATCTGGTGCTTCCTTGTACCAATATTTATGTATTTCAATAAGTAAATAAACGGTTACCAATGATTGGTTCATACGCCTTGCCCAGGTGCCCAAACTGAAGCAGGTGGTTTTCTTAGGGGGCAACACCCCGAGCCTTTGACCTGAAGGTCTAGTCCACAAGTCAGTGGAGCATCTTAAGGAGATGCGGTCCCATGGTAGCCGGTGATTAACGATTGGTTCATATGCCATTTGTTCCCTCAAGATACTGCAGCCAGGTCATGTGCACCATTGGTTTGGAATCAGGGTTTTCCAACTCACCTTGGTTGATCCTACATATCTACAAACCCGTTTAAAGTGCCGACATTCACATCTCGTTTTCTCAATTTCGTAAACAACAGTAATGTCATGAGAATTTAGTGAGTAGTATTTCCCTGGCAGAGGTTATATACGCGTGGCCATGTGATAGCATTTCTAGAGGACTCTCCCCACTCTCGGCCGTACCAAGGCGTTTGGGGACACATATCACCTACTTTATTAAATCATATTCCGTAGCATTTTTCCCCCATAACATTTATCTATATATTCTTCTTATTTTTTTGTGTGTAATCTAGTATCATTAATGGATTTGCATTACCATTGAAAGAAGAACATAAAATATTTTTAATGCGTGTTTTACTACCTTTACATAAAGTTAAATCAGTTAGTATATATCATGCACAATTGGCTTATTGTGTTATACAATTTTTAGAAAAAGATCCAACACTTACACAACAGGTTAGTTGATTTTGTATAGTTTGTATTGTGTATAACTTTTAATGATTATAATAATGATATTATCTAACAAATTAGTATGATAATATGAAGGAGGGATTCATATTGACAGAATTGTTCAGCGCTCGCGCTCGAGACTTGATAAGTTATGGATTTGAATCTCGCGAGGCGTGATCATTGATGCACACTGCTGAGGAGTCCCATACTGTCACGAAACGACCGTCCAGTCGTTCCAGGTTTTCCATGATGATCCAGCTTCGATTGACTCATGGTTTCATCTTTGAAAATACTGAAATCTCCACAAAAATCGCCTTATGATTATAATCATATACTCACTAGTGACTGACTTCAAGATATATGTCCTGGAGTTCTAGTGGGAAGCAGTGACCAGTGGAGTTCAACCACGTCTGTTGTGAGATAACAACTCACTGAAGACAATTGGTGAACGGTTGCTTAAATTTCGTGGATTGGTTGAAGTTAGACATTAACACCATTGGATGCCGGCCGGCTCAATGGTCTATCGGTTAAGTGCTCTGGCGCGAGACTGGTAGGTCATGGGTTCAAATCTCATTAGGCGGGATCATGGATGCGCACTACTGAAGAGTCCTATACTAGGACGAAACGGCCTTTCACTGCTTTCAGGTTTTCCATGGTGGTCTAGCTTCAACTATAAAATTACTAAAATCTCCACAAAAGCCCTTCTTAGAATAGTTTGTAACATACAATATTGTACTCATTAAATTATTAGTTAGAAATAATCTATAGTCTGTTGTTCTTATCAATTCAAATAGTTATCATGATCAGAAGGAGAATGAATGACAAAAATTTTTTGTAGCCTTAGATAAAATGGAGATTTTGTTGTTTAGGTTTTTGGATATAAGAATTTATAATTGACTTTAATTATAGCCTTATGCTATTTTATTATTTTCTTTCTAACGTGGTGTCAATATTTGTTGCTATGATGTTTTAAAGATTATTCACACGCATTATATATTTGACAAAGTTATCATAAATCAAAATATTAGTTATTTATTTAAAGACATAAACATTGATACAAGGTGGCACCAAATAGATATGCGCCACATAAAACATTCAACTTGTTTGAGTGCTGCGATGGTGGTGGTTCTCCTAGGGGGGGCTCACCCGGAGCCTTTGTCCTAGAGGTTTAATCCACATGACATTGGAGCAATATAAGGAGATGCAGCCCCATGGTAGCCGCTTACCAACAATAAATTCATACACCATTTGCTTCTTTAGGATCTTGGTGCCCATGTGCACGATTGGTTTGGAATCACTGTTCCTCAGCTCCCTTAGGTGGACCCTTTGCGTCCACCAACCCGGTTAAAGCGCCAGACATTCGCTTTTCGTCTTCTGAATTTCATAAACCACACACCCTCTGTGAGAATGCCATGAATGGGACTTCCTTGTCAGTGGCTGTATACGCATGTCCATGCGAGAGCATTTCGAGAGGGAAACCGAACTCTCCTCTCCCGCGACCGTACCAGAGCATTTGGGGGTTGTTATTTACCTAAACATACATAGTCATCAAATTTAGAACTTTATATTTGTTATGAAATTTCAGTAGTCCTGTACAATTCGTATAAATTGTTTATAGTTAGATATTCATCAAGACAATAACGGGTGATGATATTTATTGGATATTTATTTTATTGATATTCCATACAGTTCTGATGATGATAAAATCCATCGGTTAAGAAATGCTTTCTTTTCCAAGCTTTTGATATAAAAAGAATGGATCTTTTTTATTGATAGTAACTCTAAATCGAATGACGTGAAACTCGTAAATTGTATACCTAACTCTCAAGGACAAATAAAATATTCTATCAAGACCCATGTTTTCTTTGTCACCATCTGTCGTCGTCTTTTGGAGCTAGGATCAACCTCTTGGGCTTCGTTTGTCTTGTCACTTGTTTGGCCACAGTGTTAACATTTCTTCAGGTGTATAATACAAGTTTATTTTACAGTGAATTCCCTGTTGTTGTGTTGATATTTCGATTCGTTTAATAACCAATCGCTTATAATATTTATACAGTATATAAATATTAACAGTCACTAATTGTTGATAAGGAACATTTGAATTATGGGGTTGTGGAGTTTATTATAATTTTGATTGAGATCATGAATCAATTATTGTTAGACCACCATGGAGAACCCGGGACGGTCGTTTCGTCCTACTATGGGACTTCTCAGCAGTGCGCATCCACGATTGCACCTTGCGAGATTTGAACCTAGGACCTTCAGTCTCGCATGCAAACGTTTAACCTCTAGACGACTAAACTGGCATCCAACATTACTAATATAGTAATTGGTTTAACAAACAAATCTACATCTCTCTCAAAGTCATTTTAGATACTATATTTTCTATGTTTACATTGAAATGATGGTCCACCAGGGTGTTTGGTACCTGAGTGGTTGCGCCACAGGATTGAGCTGTACTGTTCGGATTGAAGTGTTGAAGCCTTATAGTACCTGGTTCTCCTATAGAGTGGGATTGAGCTGTACTGCTTGGGTTAAGCCTGGGCAGTGTCTGACTCTCCTGTTAAACGGGATTGAGCTATACTGTTTGGGTTGCCGCGTGAAAGCCTGGATGGTGTCTGGTTCTCTTGAAAACCAGTGCAAGATTACCCTGGTCCATAAGGGTATATTATATTATATAACTAACATTAAAATGCACTAAATTCAAAATCACCCTTAGTAATTATGAATGATATCATGTATTTACCATTTCTATGTAGGTTTGTTCTCTGAGCTGGAATTGAAGTGTTTGAATTTCTCCACATGCGATTCACAGCTTCTACCCGAAGTTTGTGCTGATGATGTCGTGCAGATGGACAATGAAAGCTCTACGACCAAATCATCCAGCTCAAGAGAACTAACCTACATCAAAATCATCTACCGGAGCTACAAATCTTCTCCATCATCTCAAATTTACCATTTCATTATTATTTTTTCTACAAATTTCTTTTCTTTGTTTTAAAAATCACATTTAGGTTGTTCTTAGTTTGTTAAAATTTTGGCCAAAAACTCATAGTCCTAAAGAAGTGATGTTTTTAAATGAATTAGAAGAAATTCTTGATGTTGTTGATCCATCAGAATTTCGTAAAATTATTCGACCATTATTTACACAATTAGCTAAATGTGTATCATCTCCTCATTTTCAAGTAAGTTAATCATTATTATTATTATTATTATTATTATTAGTTGTAGTAGTAGTAGTTGTTGTTGTCGTGTTACATATGTCTGAACACCGATTACCACGACGCGCTATGCTGACTAGTGTAGTGGATGGTTGGAAAAGAGTTAAGGGCAGTCAAACCAAAATGTGGCATCAGTGCTTGAAATTACTAACTTCTATTCTGAGCCATGTTGGTTGCAGACTACTACATGTTGATGCAGACTACTTGGTTGGGGTCCACGTGATCATTGTAACCAATGGTTGGAGACTCTAGGTGATATGACTCAGAATCGATCACAATGGCGTAGGTGTAGTATACTCTTTATCTTCCCTTAAACCTTAAGATTAAAATTGCTTCATAACTTTCTTCCTTCCTATACTATATCCTTATATACAATCTTTCTTTTGTATATTAACACTACTAAATTAACTACTTTTATGAATCCGGTGTTCATCTTGTCGTGGTAACGAGATATTGCAACTTGGACCGATGCATGTGTACATAGTCCTACATTGTAGCTGACTAACTGACTGAGTAGTCGTAGTAGTGTGGTGTGGTCTACTTATATCCACATAAGTAGTATATTGTGATGGTCAGACATGGAATGTATTTTGGTAGAAGATCGATAAGGAAAAAACAGAAATAAAGCGCAATCGGTACGAAAATGCATGAACAATAAAATTAGAGAAGATGGACTGATATTTACAGAAGGAACAGTTAAGATTGAGACGAATTGCAAATTAACTGTTTACGATTTGGTTATCTGAATTTAGTGAGATACTCTGTAATCTGTGCTTAAATACATTCGACTGTCCCTACTCGTGCGATTGTTCACTACAGTAGTAGTATTTCTGTGATATAAAATGCTCATTAGATTGTTCAGTAATTGGTGTCTGTTAATAATTGGATGGTAGAATCTTAAAAAAAACTTGTTCATTTTTCAATATTCCTTGAAAAAATAAACGTTTTTGTTTGGTTGGTTATTAAGTGTTATTGTAATCAATGAGAACACAGGTGAACACAATCAATTATAAAATCTCTTGGTAAAATATGAAAACCATATACGGAATATAAGCAAAGATAGATAGTGGATAGAAGTGGAATCCAGATTGACGCGCATTTCGTCCTATGTGGGACTCGTCAGCTGGATGCACCTGTATCTCAGAGTTGATGTTCACCCTAGGACTCGAACCCGTTACCCTTCGCCTCAAACGCTATCACGTTATCCACTTGGTTACTGATTCCTGATAGCTACTTGCTTGTGCAATGGGGTGAAGTTTGAATTCATTTGTATTATTTGTTTGAATCTTCCTATTAATGTTTAGAACTGCATTTGATCGGTCTCTTATTGACATATGTGCATACTGTGCGTATTGCCTTGATATAGCCACTATCCATCTTAGCTTATAATGCTTGTGAATTAAGTCTATACTGAAGCAATACACACAGTATGCACATACATGGCCAATAAGAGACTGATCAATTGCAGTCCTAAACATTAATGGGAAGATTTAAACAAACAATACAAAGTGAATTCATGCACTGAATACTTCATTTGCAAAATTCCATCAGTTGTTCTTCAAGTTGTGTATGATTCTTCTGATTCACAATTGCTTTTCGATTTCTAATTCTGTTTTCTTCAAATTAACTGTCTGATATGCTTAATGCTAATTTCGAGTTCACCTTACTCGGTAAACGGAATAAAGGTGAATCACACAGTGACACGATAGGCTATTCTAATCTGTTGTCCCCTACTCTGCTAACTAGATCAAGAAATCTTGACGAGGCGTACAGAATAAATTCTACAACTACTCAGAAAATACGAGCACACTAAGTACACAAATCAAGCTTATTTATATAATGATGATGAAAGTGACTATCTAACACTTATACTTTTTCTTTAAATATTTGAGATCATGAGTCAATTGAAGCTAAACCACCATAAAAAACCTGGAAGTACTGGACGGCCGTTTCGTCCAATTATGGGACCCCTCAGCAGTACGCATCCACGATCCCTCCTCACGAGATTCAAACCCAAGACCTTTCAGTCTCATGTGCGATCGCTTAACCAGTAGACCACTGACCTGGCATCCAATGGTCCTGGGTTCGAATATCGCGAGGCGGGATCGTGGACAAACAAGAAAATGCATTATTAGTTGACTAGTGTATTCGCTACCTAAAAGTCATCCACTAAGGATTATTTTCGTTCTAAATGTGTGAACTGTTTTAAATAACCCAGATAGTTATATATATATATATAACCCTATAGCATCTAACTAGATATCATTTCGATATATATATGTCAAATTACTCGTTAATTGTGTTTTTTCAGTATGTGTTCTGTGGAGTTTGTTCATTTTTTTCCTAAATGACTTTCTGTGTCATTATTGTTAAAGTACAATGTTAACCTTCTTATGTTGTATGTGGTTTTTTTCTCTCTTTCCATATAATCCTTTCATCTACATATTACCATGGTAACCAAATGTACTATTAGCCACTGAATGTATATTCGGTTAGGGATAGAGGTTAAATAAGTTATATTTTTGAAAAAAAAGTACTTGTCTTTCTAAAGAATTCGTTTTTTATTTCCTTGAAGTACTAATGTTATAGAAGATGAATAAAACATTGAAATTGTTACGTCCTTGAATCTGTCTACCCGCTTTAGTGCCGAGAATGACTAGTCTAATGTGGACTAAGTCCTTGACCCGATAGGCTGACTGGCTTAACCTTCAGGCTAATATGCATGAGAAGCAGAGATGGATAGTGGCTAGCAGTGGAATCCAGGACGCGCGTTTCGTTCTATTTGAGACTCGTCAGCTGGATGTACCTGCATTTCAGAGTTGATGTTCACTCTGGGATTCGAACCCAATATCCTCGCTTCAAACGCCACTGCGTTATCCAGTCGGCCACTGAGTCCTGATAGCCACTTGCTTGTGCGATGGGGTGACCAGTTGCAGTCCTAACAAATCGATGGGAAGATTCAAACAAACAATACTGAGTGAATTTAATATGCGTGAGTTCGAAGTGGGGGTAGAGAGACGAAAACTATTCTATCCCTGATTGGCTGGCAAGCACGCGAGAGAGAGAGAAGAGAAAGACAGCTGGAATACTAATCACTTTATTCCAACCCCGATCTAGCACTCGAATTCCCAATTCAGATTAGCATGAAAAGTTACATTAATAGATAGATGAATAACCTGACCACGACGTACAATAATTGGAAAAATACAATATGTCCAAAAGCGGGGGATTATAGTAGAAAATAGGGTACAAAAGATTACGTCTAAATGACAATAGCTTTAGAACAGAAAATGCTATGGCAATGAATCATACATCAAACGAAAGCTTATGATCTGTAGAATAGGCTAGGTACAAAAGTAAATGTTACAGTTTTACAAGCTTTGAATTAAATGAATTAACGTCCCCAAAAATCGCTTCCGTAATTTGTTAAGGCTTCTTGTTTGGCGATTCACATCATCTTCCCCCTTGACAAAATAAAGTTATGTTGTCACTGCCATTGACTGAGTGCATAAAAGAAACTGGATTGCGTTGTCGTCGTGACCAATTGGGTTAAGTGGAATAAACAAAAAAAAGAAGAAAAGTGGTTAGTCATTATTTGCAAGCAGTAGCTAAGATATCATCATTGATATCTCCCCCCGGAAAAATATGCTCCTTTCTTGGGGTCCACCTGCATGGCATCAGGTCCTTTGCGTTTCCGTCGTGATCTCCTATTAGGATGTTGTTGAAGTTTCACAGTCTTCTTAGTTGCTGAATTTCCTGTGATGAAACTGTCCAAGAAAATTTCCCCCATTGAGCACGGTTTCTCGGCTTTTTGTGAATGTGAGAATCGGGAACGACGATAGATTTTCCGCTTCGCCCCATGATGGCGATTACATTGAGTTCTGATCTTTCTCACAACTATTATGGGAGCAGCCCAGTTTGAGTGATTTACTGCCTGAATGACACCTAGTGCTTCAAAACTGTCAAGTTCTTGATCAACGGCTGACAGAGCAGCATAATGTACTGGTCGTTTTGGTCTGAGAATGGGCTTTGCATTTTGTTTTCGAAGATTATTTGCGTGAGATGCGGTCGGCACTATAGAGGAATCAAATGCATGAGATTTTGAGACCTTACGACAGCAGACTTTGTTTGACGAATTTGATGGGGAATCATTTTGTCAATATGTTCCATCGGAGTCATTTGATTTAACATCATTATGAAAACACATTAAATCGGAGTTATTCGATTTAGTATCACTATGAGAACACATTAAATCGGAGGTATTTGATTTGATATCATGATGAGAACACATTAAATAGGAGGAATTCGATTCAGAAATAATACGAGAACATGTTACATCAGAAGCATTTACTTCATAGACATCAGGGGAACATAACACACCAGAGGCATTTGACTTAGAAATATCATGAGGACTTTGGATAGAATCAGAGCACGGATTGTGAGAACATACCTCATTTAATAAACCATTTAAGACATCGATCTTCTCAATCCAGTCCAATCCCAATAGATCTAAATCATGCCGATTTGTTAGATAACAAACATCAGTGAATTTATGTTCCTTGAATTGCACGTTGCAGGTGACTTTTCCTGTTAGCTTCACTATATCGCCTGATGCATTCCGAGCATCATGTTTTGTTGGTCGGATGGGTGGACACCCTAGCTTACTCCATGTGTTCTTGGACATCAGTGTAATGTTGGAAGCAGTGTCTAACTGAAGACGTATAGGTTTTTCATTCACTAATAAGTTCACATACTTCCGTTTACTTTGAAATCCAACTCTAAAAGTTGCAAAGGCGAACTTGGGCTGCATCATCAAGATTTGAGCATTCAACACGAAATGTGTCTTCAAAACGACGAAACCAGGAATCGAAAATAATACCAGAATCGGGATCATAATTGAATTCACAAATAGAATTTGCGATGCTGTCATATTTATCTGACTGAGAATTTGATGATGAATGAAC